TCTTGCTTCAGAGTCACACAGCAAGTCAACAATCGTAGAATGTCAAGGGCTTTTCCAGACCTGGATTCAACCTTTTCATTTAACAGAGGAGGAAACCGAGGTCTGTAGAAGCCCAGGCCCTTGTCCATAGTCACACAAATGACAGGGCTGGGAGCATGGCCACAGACATCTACAGCAATTAGGACAGGCTGGGGCAGATGGTTCCCCAAGGTCCAGTGTTCTGAACCCGGCCCCTCCCCCACTCCAGGCCCCTAATGCTTGAAAGAGGAATATTTAGGCCAAAACTGAAGTCTGACTTCACACGCCAGTAACCTCTCCGAAGCAGGAGAGGCTGGAAGCAGAAATAGCTTCAAAAAGGATTCACTGACAGACAACAGACCCAAAGTGGGTTATTAAAGGAGACCTTGCTGGGGCCTTCGCTCCCTTCCTGCCTCCCTCCCTGCCTCCTTCTACCACCCAACCTCATGCCTGCCTCCCTCCTGGGCCTGGCTCAGGCAGTCTGGGTACTCGGGACCCCCTCCCACTCCTTGCCCTGGGCCTGGGGTGGCCGAAAGCCCTGGTCTCTGTGCTTGGGTGGGCGAGGGTACAGGGGGAAGAGGTTACAGGAACCCCAACAGGCAGCATGGTGGGGTCCAAATGACTGATTTAGAGGGAGAGGACCTGATTTCAATCTGGCTCTGCTATGGACTCCCCAGTGTCTATGGGAAAAGCAGAGGGCCCCAGCTCCTGATCTGCAAGCCAGGACACTGGACTAGATAAACCCTTGGGTCTTTTGTGGCTCTGACCTGACAACAGTGAGACACTATAGGCCAGTCCAGAAGAGCTCTCATCCCCACACCCTCCTTTAAGGCCAGCGCTTAGCCAATGCAGCCCCCTCTTCCCATAACCCAGACCACAGGGGCCTGAGGATGAGGGCATGCAATGCTGTGTAGCCTTCTGACCTACGAAGGCAGAAGTCCTCAGAAGCCTGTGATCAGATCTTGGCTCTGCCGTTTCCTACCTGAGTGATCTTGGGTGAGCTAGTTCCCTCTCTGGCCATCCTCCATCCAAGAAAGGGGTTGGACTAAACTCTCTTCGGGCTCTTCCAACACTAATTCCTGACACTGAGACTTCAAGCATCCAAGGGGGACTGTATGGCCCCTAGGGTGGGGTGCAGTATAGATAGAGCACCAGACCTGTAGTCAGGAGGACCTAAGTTCAAATGTGATCTTAGACACTTACTAGTTTTGTGACCCTGAGCAGGTCACTTCACCTGTTTTCCTCAGTTTCTTTATCTTAAAATGGGGATAAAAATAGCACCTACCTCCCAAGGCTGTGAGGATCACATGAGCCAATAATTAATAAAGTGCTAAATAAATATTATTCAGAGGAGGGGTGATATTACTGTGCTTGGAGCCAGGGCTTGACACAGTCAGCCCTAATGGGGGGGAAGTTCCGAGCAGGCAGATGCCGACTCAGTATAAAGGCATATCTCCTAGCAATCACCCGGAGACCATGAGATCCAGCGTTTGTCCCAGAAGAGGCTGAGTGACCTCTTGCTGGAGGACATTTCAGAGCAAGCTTTTGGGTCCGGAGAACTAAAGCCCTTGGACTTTTCTGAGCTGCACCTTGCACCTCTGAAATTCCAAGGTAAATATAATACCACGTTGTTGAGGGTTAGCTGCTGTCCCTTTGGCCTAGCACAACAAGAGACCAAATGGCCCTAGGTCCCAGGAAACAAAATAGCCTAAGAGAAACACAAGTAACCTAGAAGGGGCTTAGTGAAAGACAGCAGGAGCTTGCAGGAGTGAGTAGACTTCTGCACAAGAAAGCTCCCTGGTAGGGGTCTGGCCCACCACTATGGACTGCCAGGAGCTGTCCTGGGCTATGGTGCTGAGCCTAGTCCTCAGTGTAACCTTGGATCAATTCCTTTCTCCAAATGGGCTCTCGAAGAGTCAGACTGAGAAACGACTGACCTGGGGAAGGTCTTTGCCCCCTCCCATGTAGAATGAGAGGACTGGACTGAATGGGTGAGCTTGGGTCCACCGCAGGTGGACCGAATGAACCCATCAAATACACCCAGAGAACAAAGGTAACTAACTGGGTGAGAAGTTCTCCAAGCAAGCTTGATCCCCTAAGCCATCTCTTAGGCTCCAAAATTTGAGCCCCCAGGACTGCCATGTGTGTCCTGGAAGAAGTCAGTCAAGGTACCCGACCAGCGGTGCTGCTGCTGCTGTTCAGTTGTGTCTGACTCTCCGTGACCCCATTTGGGGTTTTCTAGGCAAAGATGAGGTCTTCCTGACTTCAGGCCTGGTGCTCTATCTACTAAGCTATCTCGCTGCCCACGAGTGTGTGAAGGGCCCACAAGTTCAGTCTTAGCAGAGTGACTAAGCTGGAGAAGTCTAGAAGGCACATTGATCATCTGGAAGGCAGTAAAGATGGTGAGAGGGAGGCCTGGCTCTCTATGGTCATCGAAGGAACTTGGAGGAGGGAAAAGCTTGTGTGTGTTTGGCAGGACCAATTAAAGCGCTCAAGGACTTTCTGAGTTTCCAAGTGAAAAGGAGATCAGGGGCCAACTTTTACCTTTCTTTGTATCCCCAGCACCTTCCATAGGACCTGGAACACAGTAGGTGCTTCATAAATGCTTGTTGACTGACTGAGAGCTGGGGGGAGGGAGGGAAACTAAGAGATTACAAGTTAATAGAGAGATTTAAGAGAGGAATAAAAAAAAATCACAGGGACAGTGTGGGGGAGGAATCAGAGATCCCAAAGGAAGGGATCACAGGTGGGAACCAGAGATCACAGAAAGGAAGAAATGACAGTAGATAGAGATCAGAATGAGGAATGGAAGGTGATGAAGTGATCAGTGTGGAACCATGAGCCATGAAGGGAGTGGGATACTTGGAAAGGCTAAGAGTGCACGGCAGATTCTCGTGGAGATCTAGGAGAGATCAGGGAGAGGGACCAGCAATCACAGAGGGAGAGACCACAGGCAGGCAGAAACCCCTGAGAGATCTGAGATAACAAAGAGAAGAGAGTGGGATGGGGCTGGGGAGGAAGGAAGGTAGGAAGGCAGGAAGGCAGGAAGGCAGGCAGGAAGGAAGCAGGAAGGCAGGAAGGAAGGAAGGAAGGAAGGCAAGAAGGAAGGCAGGAAGGCAGGAAGTCAGGAAGGAAGGCAGGAAGGAAGGAAGGCAGGAAGGAAGGAAGGAAGGAAGGAAGGAAGGAAGGAAGGAAGGAAGGAAGGAAGGACTTTTGGCTCAGGAGAAATGGGAGTGAGGGAAGAACCAGAGATGCCGGAGAGATAAGGGCAGGGATCACCTTAACAAGTCAGGAGATAAGGAAAAGAAGTAGAGGTTCGGGAGGAAGCGGGAGAGGTCTCCACTATCCTGAAGAGATCTGGGGAATGTTGGTGAAGGCTCCTGTCCCAGGGCAGCTGCTGCTGCTCTTTCTGCCAGTTACTTTGTATCTATGCCCTACATGTATCCCTGACCTTCCTCCTGCAGCCAGAGTGTAAGCTTTCTGAGGTAGACAAGGGTTTTCTCTGTGTATTCTCAGTGTCTGAGCCCAAAGCAGGCATTTAATAAATGTTTATTACTTGAAGAGCTCCTGAGGAGGAATCAAAGACCAGAGAAGGAATCACGGCTTACAAAGAGATCAGAAGGTGATGGCAGAGATTGGAAAGTGAAATCAGATATGCTGAAAGGTCAGGGAGAGACGATCCAAGATTGTAGAGAAAAATCAGAGCTCATGGAGAAGACTGATCTCAGAAATCAGAAATCATGGAAAGATCATGGTTGGGAGAAATCAGGTGATGGCGTTGGCTGGGGGGAAGGGAAGGGGAGAGAATCGGATATGGAGAGAGAAGGGGAAAAGGATGCGCCAGAATCGATCAAGAGGAGGGCTCAGCAGTCATGGAGAGACTCGAAGTTGAATGGGATGGCTCTGGAAGTCAGGAGGACCTGGGTTCAAATCCTGCCTCGGACACCAGTTACCATCTGGTGTGACCTTCCTTCACCTTTCTGCCATCTGTACAATGAGACAGATGGCCTGTGAAGTCCCTTCCTGCTCTCTCTCAGTCCCTAAACCTAAGATCTCAGAGGAAGGAACTAGATCGTGGGACACAGAGGGAAAGAATCAGAGAAGACAGAGCAGGTAAGGGGAGAAATCAGAGGCCTTTGCCCAAAGAAAAGGCGGGAGGCGGGGAATCAGAGATCAAGAAAAGGTCAGAGGGAGGAAAGAGAAATCATGGAGAGATTGGAGGAGACATTGAAATCATTCAATCTACTGGGGGTGATCAGAGACCACGGAGAGACTGGGGAAGAATCCGAAAAGTCGGAGGGTTGTGGAAGAGCACCTGGACCCTCACCTGGCTACTTTCTTGGGTGACGTTGGACCAGTTACCTGGACCCCAAAGCATCAGTTTCCTCATTTGTGAAATGGGGGTTTTGACCTGGATTCTCCCTAAAGATCCACTCCAGCTCAAAATCCCATGATTTTCTAGAAGCTGAAGGAACTGTAGTGGAAGGAGCGGAGGGGCTGGGGGAGATAGGAGGCAGACAAGGAGCCTTGGGTCTTGGTGACCTATAGATGTAGACTTAGTGAAAGTCAAGAGATTGAAGGAAGGAACGAGAGATTCAACTCCATTCAGGCAACAAATAATGGGGAAGCACCCACTAGGTGCTCCTTGGCCCTCCTGGGCACCAGGGAACTGAAGACCCTCAGGGAGAAAGAAGGGAAGGACCCTGAGATCTTCGGAAGAAGAGAGGAGGCTGTGGGGAGGAGGGAGAGGGATGGGCACAGAGAAGTCAGGCCAGACCCGGGAATGAAGAATGTGGCGAGTGCTGCGGGAACCCTAAGACAGGCACACATTGTCCTCGAGAGGCCACGGGATGAAGGGAGCGGTGTGGGTGGGAACCCCAGCAGGGGGAGGGAAGCCAAGAGCTTCGAGCTGCTGGACGGCACCTCTTGCCTCGGGCCCCCAGCCCAGGCGCCCTCCTCTCCCTCCCCTCCCCAGCTCTCACCTCAACTCGGTGATCAGCTCCTGAACGCGAGGCTCTTGGGATGCCATAATTCCTTCCATGGTGGAGGGGTGTCCCGGCTGGCCAACAGAGGGAGGCGATGGGATGGCCAGTGCTCAGCACGTCTGCTGTTCCCCAAGAGGGCCAAGCCCAGGATGCCTCCCTCTCTCCTGGCAGCCCACTACTGCTTGAACTCAGGCTGGGCGGGGTAGGGCTCAGCCGGTTCCTCTGGCTGCTACCCACGCCATGCCCCGCCCCTGGGCACCCCTGGGGAGGAGTTGGGGCTGGGTATCTCTGAACTGTGCAGAGGCGGGGGTGGAGGGGGAGATGGGCATAAGCATCCAGCCCTCAAGCCCCTCTCCCTCCGAGGATCCCAGGCCTAAGACAGCTCCTCCAACCCCTTCCCCACTCAGGGCTCCAGGGGTCCAGCCCTCTCCTCTCCTGAGTACTCAGCATCTGCCCCTCCCTGCCCTAGACTCTCCTCGAGTTAGCCTACCCTTTCCAAAGCCATCCCACCTTTGCGTCCAGGGTAAAGTACTGGACCTCAAATCTGACCTTCAGATGCTTTGTGACTCTGGACACAGTCTGCCTCAGTTTCCCCATCTGCCAAGTGGATATGATAATAGAATCTATCTCCCAAGGCTGCTGGGAGAATAAAATGAGATAACATTTGTTAAATACTCTGTGTAAATGCTACTATTATGGAGGAATCTCTGAGACCACTGAGAGACATTTTGGGGAGAGGGGCTTCTGGGATCCTGAGGAAGCAGAGGGGGCACTGTGGGTAATGGAGGAAGGACGCAGGTGTCAGGACGCCAGGCGGCCAAGCTTCCCTCCCTGCCCCGGGGCCTGGGCCCTGTGTCCCACTCCTTCTCAGTTAGTCAACTGGCCCTCCCGGTCTGTTTCCCTGTTCTCTGACTCTATCACCTTTCCTTGAGGTCTCCTCCCCATCCTCCCCCCAGTCTGGAATCTCCTGACAATGAGGGCAGGAGGGGGAAACTGAGGTACAGGGCGTGTGTGGGTCTGTGCTGCCAAAGGAAGCTATGGACCTCACCATCTCCAGATCCCCAGCTCCCCGAGGGAGCCTGAAGACTTCTCTCTCTAAGAGAGTGGAAGAACCCGGATCCCCAAAGCAAACGGGAAGGAGGTGGTTGGAGTTGGGAGCTGGCCAGCGGGGCGCCAGGGTGGAGAAAGAGGAGGGGGCAGAGTAGGGGAGCCAGGCTGAGGAAAGAGAACCTGGGCTCCCCAGAGGAGACGCTTTAGGGTGGGGACAGGCTGGGGGCAGACCCTCCAACCCCGCGCACCCCCATGTCCCAGGGAACACATCACCTCCTCCCTCTGTGCCCGGAGGGCCAGCGCAAGGCAAGGTTGTGCAAAGACCTAGGGGGTATAGTCAGCCCTCCCGGCTGCGGGGGGAGGGGAGCCCGGACACCCAGGCATCTGGTTCTGCAGTGCCCCTTCCCCCACTCCTGGATCCCCAAGGGGACAAATGTATGGAGTCGTTCCCCCCACTCAGTGCTCAGACTTTCGGATCAGGCCACAGGTCCAGGCTTGCCTCCGGCCCGCATCCTCGGGCCTCTGCCCCTCCTTACAAGCCACTAATCGTCCATCCCGGGATGCAGGAGGTGAGCTGGGGCCAGGGAGCGGCAGGCTTCTGGGTCCCTGCCAGGACTAGCTAGCCAGGGCTGGCAGCCAGCATCTCCAGGATTTGGGGGAGGTGGGATGGGGTCCAGACGCCCCAGTGGGTGCCCAGGTTGGGGAGGCCTGAAGGTAGACCTCCTCCGCCTCGGCAGGAGGCCCTAATCGGCAAGTGCATCAAGGGGTGTGGGCCCTGGCAGAAACCTTGCATCCAGATCCCCACCCCTATTACTCCATCCTCCATGGGGAATCCTGCCTCAGGCCCGATACTGGGCCAGCCCCAAGCCACACCCCAGATGCTGCTCTGCCTGCTGGATGGCTGGACAGTGGGCTCCCGAGGGTGGGGTGGGGAGTGGTGCTGAGGAGGGGCTGGCACACAGGTTCCCAAGGGGAAAGAAAACCTGTGCTATTCCGTCACTTCCTCTGTCCCTCTCACCACACCCTCACCCACAATTCAGAGGCCTCATCCTCCCATCCTGTCCTAATCTCCAGTCTGTCACCAGAGTCTTCCCACCTCCTCCTGGACAGGATGCCACCCCTGGCCTGGGAGCCAGGGGTCTGGGTTTGGATACGTGACCTTGGCAAACCCCTTCCTCCCCAGGGTCCTTGGTTCTTTCCTCTAGAAAGGGAGGTGCTTGGCCTAGGTCACGTCTAAGGCCACCCCCTTGGGGAGATGCCGTGTTTGCCCCTAGGTCGCCTCGGCACTGATGAGCTGCCCATCTACCAAATGACCCAGCCGTTGCTCATTCAGTCATCCATCCAAGTTTGTTGAAGGTTTTACCACAGCACCCACGTGCCAGTCTTCCCGACTTAGGGTAGGTCCCTAAGAGATGTTTGTCAATTGACCAGGTCTCACGGTCTGAGCAAGCAGAAGGACGCCAAGATTTGGAGTCCAAAGACCTACCTGGGGATCCTGTCTCCGCTGCTCATAAGTTGCACGAGCAAGTCAGTCTCTTTTGCTATGTGTGCCTTAGTTTCCTCATCTGTAAAGTGAGGCCATTGGACACTCTGTCAATTACCAAATCCTACAGGCTCTCCATATTTTGTGCCTCCTCCTCTCCAGCTCTGTCTTTCTAGGCTTGCAGTCTGGTGTCTTTGCCTGCATAGCACAGTCAGGCTTTACACAGCTGAGTAGGGCCTAGAGACCCCGGGGCTTTGCAGACTGCCCCGACCCCCTCCCTTCTCCTTTCACTGCCTGAATCTCTTGGGGGAGGGGAGAAAGCCAGGGGGCTTGGGTGTAGCTCCCAGGCCTCCCCTCTGCTCCCTGGGTGACCTTGGGCAGAGCTGGTCAGCCCCTCCAAATGAACAGGTTGTATGGGAGGATTCCTGTCAGCTCCAAATCCCATAATAGCTGCCACTCATACAGCGTGTTATAGATGTTACAGACGTGACCTCACCTAAGACTCACAAGGCTCCTGGGAGATGGGTGCTATGATTATCATGCTGGTGTTACAGACAAGGAAACCGAGGTTCCCAGGCTTCCAAAGTCACAGCTGGCGAGGGGAAGGGAGCTCCATCCATCTGCCTCCTGTCAGCCTGACTTTCCACATCACCCCAGAAGCCAAGACCCGAGTCCTTTGAAAGTTCCTATTTTTACGAGTGGGGGACTCTCTAGAGGCCCAGAGGGGGCAGGCCCTGAACCCCACGTCACAGAGGGAGGCCCAGAGAAGAGCCTGCCCTGCACGGCAACCCAACCAGCCAGAATGCGCCCCTCCCCCCCCTTGTGGGCCAAGCCCTCTGTCATGGCCCCAGGAGGTAACGGCCCAGCCTGGGAGCTTATTTGAGGGGGAGGGGCAGTTTACAGGGAAGAAGGACGCAATTGCGGGGGGACCAGCTTTGTCTCCTCCTTTCATCTCTGGGTAGGGAGACTTTACTGCCAACCCCCTTCCCCCAACACTCCTTTCTGGCCCCATTCCCATTTCTGCAGCAACGTGAGGCTTGGGGAGTGCTTTGGTGACCAGCTCAGGCAGGGACAGAGGACACTGAGGCTCCCAGAGGCACCGTGGCATGGCCCTGACCACACACACACACTTACACACACTCACACACAGACCCACACACTTATACACACTCACACTCAAGCACACACTTGTACAGACACACATGTGCTGGCACACTTACACCCATGCACACACTTGCACCCACACTCACAGGTGTGCACACATAAACACATGCACTCACGTGCGCGCACACACACACAGACCCACACACTTATACACACTCACACTCATACACACACATGCGCTTGCACACAGACATGCTTACACACACTCACAGGTGAGCACACACTTACACACACACACACACACACACAACATACACCTAGACAGGGCAGCTGCTGAGGCTCTCTGCCTCTCTGCTGGCTCCCCAGGAGCTCTGGGCCTGGGACCTCCTCCAGGTGAGGGCTGCCCCTGGGTCCTTTGAGCCTCCTGCTCTCTCTCTCCCCTTGGTTCTCTCTCCTTCTGCTTCTTCGGATCTCTGTCTCCTAGGCCGAACCATCCGCTGCCTAGGGGCCAGCATGGCCTCCTAGTACTTACAATGCTGCTCTTGGTCTCAGGACTGTGGAGCATTCGCCAAGCGCTGACTACATATGGGATACGTGCTTTTATAAAGATCATCTCCTCTGGCTGTCACAACAATCCTGTGAGCTAGATACTGTTGTTATCCCTGTTGTAGAACTGGGTAAACTGAGGCAGACAGGTGAAGGGACTTGCCTGGGGTCACACAGCTCTTACATGTGTGAGTCTGGATTTGACTTCAGGCCTTCCGGGCTCTGGACTGGTGCTCTATCCAGTGTGCCACTTTGCTCAGTTACTTGGGAATAGATCCCACATTATGGTATCTTTTTGGGCCCCAGGGTAAGTACCTTCCTTTCTTTGGGACCCCTGTTTCCTACTTTCCAAATTGTGGAAGGTTTGGTTTCTGAGGGCCTTAGCACAGCCAGACTTTGGCATTTACTCTCTGGATTACCATGGGCAAGGCAGTTAACCTCCCTTATCTGGAAAAAATGAGGGGGAGGAGCAGCTTCAGACTTGGTGGTCTCCAGGGCCCTTGTTCATTATCCTACCTGGAAGGGCTCCACCCTCCACCCTCCTGCCTCCATCTCCTTCCCTTAGACTTGGGACACTGGGGTTGGCTTGGAAGAATTTGAAGTCTTAGAGAGATTAGAGGCAGTATGGAGGGAGTGTTGAACAGTCAGGAGGGCCAGAGATCGAATTCCACTTTAGTGGAGTCACTCAATCTCACTCTGACTCAATTTCCTCATTTGTAAAATGGGGATCATGCCAGCACCTTCTTTTGCAAGGCGCAAAGCCTTCTCAATAAATACTGGCTATTATTATTAATCTTTTCCTCATTGTCTCCATTTTTCCCCCTTTGTCCCTCCTGCCCCTGTCTCTCTTCCTAATTCCCTCCCTTCCCCTCCCTCTCCCTTCCTCTCCTTCCTTCTCTTCGTCTCTCTTCGTCTCTCCCCCCTCCTTTCCTCTCCCCTCCTCCCTCCCTCTCTTCCTCTCTGTTTCTGTC